ACACTCGTGTGATGGAAGCGTACTAGGCCCATAACCTGTTTAAAATGCATAAATTATTAAATTTACCTATTATCCTGCTCATTTGCTTGCACAAATTCCATTAATTTTCCACGAAATACTCGTACAATGGAAGCGTACTAGGCCCATAACCTGTTTAAAATGTATTAATTATTAAATTTACCTATTTTCCTGCCCATTTGCTTGCATAAATTGTATTAATTTTCCACGAAATACTCGTACAATGGAAGCGTACTAGGCCCATAACCTGTTTAAAATGTATTAATTATTAAATTTACCTATTTTCCTGCCCATTTGCTTGCATAAATTGTATTAATTTTCCACGAAATACTCGTACAATGGAAGCGTACTATGCCCGTAACCTGTTTAAAATATATTAAGGGAGGCGCAAGATTTAGCATCAGAAGAATTATCCAGTATCAAGTCATATGACATTGAACATGGAATTGAATAACAAATTTACCTGGTTATTATACTGCTCTATTGTTTATATTAAATTTAATTAATTTTCCACAAAACACTCATAAAATGAAAGCGTACTAGGCCCATAACCTGTTTAATAAAATTGAAGACATAAGATTTAGCATCAAAAACTGTATCTAGCGCTAAATCATATTACAGGTTGGGCATGTAATATGGTAAAAAATTACGTGGTTATCATCCTGCTCTATTGTTTATGTAAAATTGAATTTATTTCACACAAAACACTCGTACAGTAAAAATATACTAGGTTCATAACTTGTCCACAAACTATTCAGCAAGGCACAAGACTCGCTAAGTCTTGGTAAGGGCGTTTCCGTTCCGCTGCTGTAATATCTGAAAACCCTTATCGATATTCCTTGTGAACAATCCTGGCCAAGGGGCCTGTTTTTTTAAGTTTACATCCTTTTATTTATACCGATGAAGTAATTTTTTGAAAGATGTAAGTGAAGTAAGGTTATGAATCAGAGATAGGATTAATACCCTCTGTAAATAGGTGGTAGAGGGCATCCGTAAAAATTAATTAGTTTTTGACTAGGAAAATAGAATGTACGTGTGAGAAAATATTAGTTTTGGATAACTAATTTTGTCTACATATGTATATATTACAAGCCATTAAAAAAAAAATTTTTCGAAATTCTTATTAGTCACACTTACTTACACCTAAAATATATGAAAATTTTTATTTCAATTTTTTAATTTTCGAAAATCGATTTTTTTCCTTTTTCGGGAATAACTCTTGTAAATATTAAGACATCAATCTAAAATATGAAAAAAATACGACGGTTTATCAATCATTTTAAAAATCGTTAATTTTTATCAGTACTAGACTTAAAGTGTTCAATGAAAAATGTTTGTCATTGCTTTGATTTTCGAACACTTCTTGTTCTTTTTTTATTGGAAAATTTACTCATCACCTTCAATTGTGTAATAGTTATGTTTCGTAATGAAGGCATTTTTTTGTTATTAATAATACATTTTTTGACAAAACAATGCCGTAAAAATATTATGTAAAATTAGAAAATTACTTGCATAAATTGTATTAATTTTCCACGAAATACTCGTACAATGGAAGCGTACTAGGCCCATAACCTGTTTAAAATGCATAAATTATTAAATTTACCTATTACCCTGCCCATTTGCTTGCACAAATTCCATTAATTTTCACTAAACACTCGTATTCTAAACATTAAATACGTATGTTTAGTGTTTTTTCACTCTTAACTCTGCAATTTCTAAATTAAAAAAAAAAAAGTAAATTCTATACATTCTACGAATAAACCAACTTTCGGTCAAATGAAATTATATTTTTATACCTTTTGTATTTATTCAATAGATTTGCA